TCGTCCGTCATGCTCTTTGGTAATTTACAGGAATCTAGGCATTGCTGGAGTAAATAACACTCAAAATTACTTTTAACTAACTAAGGAACGAAGGATACATGGATGTGCCACCTGGCAAAGTGATCAATAGTGTTCTGTATAATCTGGCTGTAGATTTGAAAATGTTTTCAAAGACTTGTTTGTAATTGACTGACAGAAAAAAAACTTAGTTATCTGTCTTGACATTCATCAGCATTTTACAACATTTAGAAGACAGTGCATATAAGATTAATTTTTATGACCTGTTCTTGTAACATACCTGCAACTCCCAAACAAAATGAACAGTTCTGTAGCACAACAATAAATAAAAGAAATAATGGCCTTACCTCTAAGATGTTGAGTATACTTCGTAGGCCGTCTCCACATCCAATAATATCCAGAATATGTACAATTGTTGACACTTTTATGTCTTGTAGATTTAGAGAGAGATTCTTTGTAACGTCCGCTGAGTCGCCAATGCCAAGCAGGTCCAGAAGATCTATTGAATGATATCATTTGATAACTATTTACTTCTTTTTCTATTAAGCATGGAAAAATGAGCTAAGTACGAAGTTTCTTTGAACATTTGCCGAAAAAAGCATCTCTATATGATGCTTTATAGCTATACATTTACATTTATTGTAATTTGAATAGAAAGAAAGCGAATGCCACCAGTTAAGTACTGTAGAAACTCCTAATACAACAAGAAAATTTAAACTTGTTGTATCGAAAAACATTCGTGATCTTTTTTCTTTACTATGACTAAAAAGAGAGAAGAAGTTGAGTTTATCTAATCTAACTAATCTAAGGAACTTTTTTCTATACTATCATGAAAGTTCATCTGTGTTGGTAGTTACTTTTTAGAATTAAAAAAAAAAAAACTTTTGATCCAACACAAAAAGTTGTCTCATCTAGAGCTTTCGACCGGTCACTCTGGTCTTCCTCAGTAGACTGCCCCGGTGAGGCTTGTCACGTGTTTTCTTTGAAGTGTGAAGTCAACACTGGGTCATAGGTATCTGGAAAACTGAAAGCCTGTGGCTACCCCCAGTGGGCCATCAACAAAACTTGTCCCAGATCACCCAACACCAAGCCTTCAGCAGGAACAAAGTCCAAGGGTTTGGTCGTCCTTCCATACATCAAGGACTTGTCGTAAGCGCTCAGAAGGATTTCATCTCCCACGGGATTTAACCTTCTTCAAACCGACCACGACTTCAAGACACATTCTCGTTGCACCTAAACAACCCCCCCCCCCCAAGGAGAAGAAGTGCGGTGTCATTTACCACATTTCCTGCCAGGGCAAAAGTAACAAAGGGCCCTTTCAGGAAACATACATAGGAGAAACAGAAAGGTCTCTGAAGGCCGGGTTCCAAGAACATACACGTCCAAGCTCAGCCAGTTCAAGACGTGTCCACATAGACACATCCACATAGAATTACCTGGACACATTGTTTCGCTTGACACGTATGGATTTTGGACACCGAATAAGACTATTTCCCGAGATAAGTGAAAGAGGCTATTTACAGTTGTCCTAAATCAGTTAAGATGAATGCATACACTAGTTCAGTCAGACCACATCTTGAATACGCTAGCGCTGCATGGGATCCGTACTACAAGGAACATATTCACAAGTTAGAATCGGTCCAGAAAAGAGCGGCCAGATTTGTTTCCAATACCTATGATACTTATGCCAGCACTACCAAATTGGTCACAGATTAAGGGTGGGACACATTAAAGGACAGACGCACAGCAAGTAGACTCACATTACTTCAGAAAGCAAGACACTCAAAAACAGCCCTTCCGGTCAAAACCTTGTTGACGCCTATCCCGCGCCAATCGCGACACTTCAACTCCAACTCATACAAACCCCTAACGTTTCACAAAGACTGCTACAAATATTCATATTTTCCTCAAACTGTCAGAGATTGGAACATTTTGCCCCAAGAGATAACTGATACTGCGGAACCCACGAAGTTCAACGCTGCAGTACTTCAACACCTAAAGAAGCAGCAATAGCGCATCGCACAGCTCCAATGCACGCTTTACCCCAATCTAGGGGTGTTGTGCAGAACCCGTACAAGACAAGACATCAGGGCCCATCACCCCTCACTGAACCACGACGGGGGACGACATCGTCTACCACATACCTTTGACCCAGTGTTGACGTCACAGTTCAAAGAAGCTACGTTACAAGCCTCACTGGGTCAGTCTACTGAGGAAGACCAGAGTGACTGGTCGAAAGCTCTAGGTGAGAGAACTTTTGTGTTGGATCAAAAGTTTTAACTGTAAACATATTTTTTCATGTTTTGTTGCGATCTGTACCTAGCCCCGTGTGGCAAATAATGAGACAA